GGGGGGGGGTGTTGTTGGGAGAGGAGATTAAAAAAAAATTAAAAATGGTGGGTTAAAAATGTGGATACGTGTGTATAACACCCTTTCTTCTTTCTCTACAGCATTGTCTAGTTTTACAGTCAAACGTGGGGGAAAAACAAAACTGGCTTTTCCCAGAGAAATAGTGACCTTGCCGAAAACACCTGCTTGCCGGGGACAGAGGTAAACGTTAGTATTTTCCTTTATGTTCTGGTGTTTATTAAAAAAAAAAAAGCCACATTTTAGTAGTCCTGGGACCATTCCAAATCTACCTGCGGAGAATATGTCCACATCCACCCTCCTTCAGTAATAGGTGGTCTTTGTTCTTTTCATATTTCAAAACTCAGACAGAATCCATGCTTGCCATTCTTTTCTTTGGCAATTACTATACATAATTTAATACAGCTATGCCGTAAAGGAAGAAAAGGGATTCAGCAGCATTTCTTTTGTGAGGCTTTTCTTGAGTTGTCCAACTACTGGGGCAGTAGTATGGTGTGATTTTTCTGCAGCTTTTGCTACCTTTGCATGTTGGGCACTTTAAAAGTAGAATGCCATTGTATAGACATTCTTTCTGCTAGAACTCTGGGATGTTGGCTGGTTACAGGTTTTGCTTTAGAATGATTCTTTGTTGCTGGGGAAAGAACCCAGGACACCTTGGGGCATGCTAGCCAAGTACTCTACCGGTACCTGAACTATACCCCTGCCACTTAATACTGAGTATCAGACACAGCCTGGGATCAACTGAAAACAGTCAATCTAATTGTTTTTTAGGTTGTTCTGTGGATATGTCTGTGAGGGATTGTCTTAATTCACACAGGAGGGCCCAGCACATTGTGGGCAGCTCTATCCCTAGGCAGATAAGAGAGCCAACTAGTGAGTTTGAGGTCAACCAGGTCTACAAGAGCTAGTTCCAGGACAGACTCCAAAGCTACCCAGAAGCCCTCTTGAAAAACCAGAGGCGGGGGGAGATAGGAGAAGGGGAGGGGAAAGAAGGAAAGGAAAGGAGAGGAAGAGAGAAAGAGTGCCTGAGCCAGCTAAGCCTGTTATGAGCCAGCGCACAGCCACCCAGCCATGGTGGATTCTTGATGGAGCCTGCTGTGCTTTGTTGGATCCGTGAGTTCTGTGGTATAAGGCAGTGTTGTGTGGAATAACAAGCAGCCTTGCCTTGAGTTCCTGCCCTGACTTACCTCAGTGATGGGTTGTGACCTGAAAGTGTTTTATCATAGTGACAGACATGCCCATCCCCAGAAGATACATTTCTTCAGGCTTCTTTCCTCCCCTAGTACTTCCTTAACTGATGTGTTTCTTTGTTTCCCTACTACTTTGTACCAGTTGACTTAATTACTGATGTGTTCTTATAACTCCAGACTGCTCTTTCCAACTATCCGTGTGCTTGCTTTTTGGTGGCACTGGAATTGCTCACCCTGTGCAGGTGCTTTCCTCGTGCATGTGTCCCAGGCTGTCTGACTGGGACAATGGTCTGTACCCTGTCACTTGTATTATTTTAATGAAATGCTGATTGGCCAGTAACCAGGCAAGAAGTATAGGCAGGGCAATGAGAACAGGAGAATTCTGGGAAGAGGAAAGGGTCAGTTTGCAGTCCTAACCCAGATGCAGAGGAAGCAAGATGAGAATGCCTTGCTGATAAAAGGTACCCAGCCACGTGGCTAACACAGACAACAATTATGGATTAATGCAGGATGTAAAAGTTAATAAGAAGCCTGAGCTAATAGGCCAAGCAGTTTATGATTAATGTAGACCTCTGTGTGTTTCTTTGGGACTGAACAGATGTGGGACCAGATGGGACAGAAATCTCTGTCAACATCTGGCCCTCCTTTGGTCATGCTTCTGTGTAGCTGGTACCCAATATTTTTACTTTGGAATCATTGTCTAGGAGTTTTAAGCGCTATTGAACCCTGTTCTTATGCTCTAATATAACACTTTAAATGTCTATTTATAATTTCCATAGTATTTGTATACTGGTATAGTTAAAGTTTATATTATAGTTTATGTAAATTTATAAAATTTCCTCTGTAGTTATTTTTCCAGTAATATGAAGATAATACTATAGATAAAAGTTATGTGTGAAACCCATAGAGTTTTAGAAGAGATTTTTAAACTTTATTTTTTGAATGAACATACTGAACTATTCCTCCACCGTGTTAATCCTGGGAATCTAAACCAATGCCATCAATATGCTAAGTACATTCTCTGCCATTTGCTATTCTCTTAGCTCCTAGAATATGAATTTTTTTCTTTTTTTTGTGACAATTACCTACATTGATCAGGCTAGCTTTGAGCAGATCTGCCTGCCTCTGCACTCTGAGTGCTGGAATTGGATTAAAAGCATGTGCTACTGTGCCTGTGCTGGATACTGAAATTTTGACTTTCTGGATAGGGCAGCATCCTAGAATTTTGAAAACCTCAAGGTCTGTACTTTGGTGGTAGAGGGGCAAAGTGAGTTGGGCTCCATGCTTTTACTTATGAAGTTAGGGGTTAGCTACATTGGTTTTGAGCCCACAGCTTACATTTCATCCCTACCCTTTTGTTCTCAAGATACATACTGTTAGGATTCGGGCATTATGCTGGCCCCTGTCACCTGGCAGAATGAACTCAGGAGTCCTATGGCTGCTACTTGTGCTCAGGTGCAAAGGTCCCTTAAGAGACAAGCTCTGCCCACTCCTGATCTCTTTTTCTGCTGCCCTTCTGAAGAGGCTGACTGGTCTTCTCTTTCTCTCTCTCTGTCTCTTCTCTTCCTGTCTCTCCCTTCCCTTCCCCCAGTAAAACTTCCACTTCAGTTCCATCTATCTGCCTGCCCATGTTTGTCTCACCCGTCATGGGCTTCCCAAAAGGATCCCCCTCGTACTGTTTACAACATATAGAGAATGTATAGATAGATGCACGCTAGTGGTGAGTGATTTCAGTTGTTTACAACATATAGAGAATGTATAGATGCATGCTAGTGGTGACTGATTTCAGTTGTTTTATGTTTAAACCCAGGTGAGTAATCCAAGTGCTGGGATGAAAGACATGCACCATCATGCCCAGCTCCATACACCCTTTTAGAAAGACACTTGGCAATCTGTAGAGTTTGCAAATGGCTTGCTAATACTGTTCCCAGGATCTGAGCTTCGTCTACAGGACTCACATGGTAGAAGAGAACCAGTGCCCATAAATTTCCCTCTTACCCGACACATATGTAACACACGGGCACGCACATACACACACAGACACACACAAATAAAATTTAAAGATGGGCTTATTCCTTGATCCGGTATTGCTCTAAGAGAACTATCTAAGAAATGATCAGAAATTAAGAGGTTTTAATTAAAACTTTTCTATAAGGCTTTTACTTAAACAGTACCATTCTAAAAGCAAACGAAATGACAGGTAAGCAGTTAGAAAGCATATTTCTAAGGTGGGCTATCATGTGTTTGAAGAACAGATACTGAAAGAGAAAATGTATATTTGTAAGTAAAAATGATAACAAGATTGCATCATACTCCAGTATTAAATCACAAGACACAAAGGTGGTCAGAATGAAAAGGATAGAGAAGGTACCAGAGGCAAAGAAAAACTTGTGGGAAAATGGAGAACACAGCAACAGGGGACTGAAAATTTTGCGGCAGTCAAATAAGATGAGAAGGAAAACGTGAAATTTACAGTAGTCATTCAAAGTCAAAGTCATAATCATACTGTAAAGTCATAATCATACTGTAAAGGCCACTCATGCATTCATTCTACCATAAAGCTTGTGGTCTTCTTGCCTTAGCTTCCTGGGTGCTAGGATACAGGCTTACCCCACTATACTCAGCTTTGCATTCATTCTTAAGTACAAGTTAATCTTCCGCTTAAAAAATCTATTATGGGAGCCTGTGAGATGGCTCAATGGGTAGAAACACTTGCAGCCAAGTGTGGCAACCTAAATTCAACCCCCGGGGCCCTTATGGTGGTAGGAGAACTGACCCCCATGTGTGTGCACAAAATAAATAGTAGTTGTAGAAAAAGAGAGTAAAACTGGGAACAAAAAGAAAAGCTACTATATTATGCTTTGTGACTTTGGGATTTGTTTTTCAGTGCTGGGCATTGGACTTGGGGCTTCAAGCATGCTAAGCAGGTGCTCTGCCACTTAGCCAGAGTCTAGGCCTCCCACATCTTGGGGATTTCCATCTTGTCTTAAGGCATCTTTGTTTGGGATTTAGAAATTTCAAAATGGTTTAAATTTATCAGCCAGGAAGGCATCTTGGAAAGTAACTAAGTTAGTAAACTACTGGGCTTATAGAATAAAGGACTGAGTTCAATTCACAGAACCCACTGATAAACAAAAACAAAAAGCCATGTGTGGTGATGTGTACTTGTAATCCTAGGACCAGGAAGGCAGAGAGACAGCCTACTTGGAAGCTCTAGGCCAATGAGAGATTCTGTCCTCCCCAAAACCAAAACAAACACACAAACATCATAAACATAAATAACATAAATAATAAAACGAGGACAGTAAATACTAAAACTCTTCACAGCCTGAGTCATGGTAGCCTGCTGATCCAAGAGTAGCCAGTCTTACCTTGTCATAACACAAGAAAAGTTTACTTTCTTAAAGATTATTTTTATATTTAATTATGTGTCTGTGTGTGCATAAATTCAGATGCCCATGGACATCAGAAGCATCAGTTCCCCCCGGAGCTGGAGTTCCCAGAAGTTGTGAGCTTATGTGGGTCCCCTGCAAAAGCATATGCTCTCTTAACTGCTGTGCCACCTCTCCCGCCCAAGTAGCAAGTATACAATTTTTTTTTTTACAAGGCCACAGGCCAGGTGTGAGGACACTTAACTTTAATCCCAGCACTGAGGAGGCAGAGGCAGGAGGATATCTGTGAGTTCAAGGCCAGTCTAGTCTATATAGCAAGTTCCAGGGCAAAAACAAAAAACAAAAAACTAAACAAAACAAAACAAAAAAAACAAAAAAAACCCCCACAAAACAAAACCAAAAAACAAACAAGTAAAATACAAAATTAAAATATAAACATACAAAGATCACTTCTCAATTTACTAGCTAATCTTATTTTCAAATAACATACAGCATACTATTTAGTATGAGATTCCCTTAATATATACTAACTATTGAATCTGCTTGGGCATGCTAATACATGCCTGCTATCCCAACATTTAGTAGCCCAAAACAAGAGGATTTTTGTGGCCACCACTGTACATAGCAAGATCCTGCCTCAGAAATGCAAAAGGTCAAGCTGGGTGCTGGTGATGCACACACCTTTAATCACTTGGGAGGCAGAGGCAGGCAGATCTCTGAGTTTGGGGCCAACCTGATCTACAGAGTGAGTTCCAGGATAGCCAGGACTACCCACATAAGTCCTAGAAACTAAAAGAAGAAATAAAAAGAAAAAAGAAAGAAAGAAAGCAAATAGTCCCCAGTCAGCCCAGCTGAGTCAATGAGTTTCAGCTTAAGTAAGACTTGTGCAAAACATAGAGAGAAGGGCTGAGGAAAGACATCCAGTGTTGACCTTGGCCTGTAGAGTGTTTCTCTGTCAGCCAGCTCCCAAATAATGACATAGAGACTTATTTATAAAAGTTTGGCCTGAGCTTAGACTTGTTTCTGACTAGCTCTTATAACCTAAATTAACCCATTTCTATTCATCTGTGTTCTGTCAAGCACTGCACATCCTGCTTCTTGCACATCTCCTGGTGTCTCTTAAGCACCTAGATTCATCTCTAGCTTCCCTTCTTTCTGCCCAGAAGTCCTGCCTATACCTCCTGTCTAGCTATTGACTCTTTAGCTCTTTATTAACTCAATCTCAGCAATATATCTTCACACAATGTACAAATATCCCACAACATTGGCCTGTGACAAGACGTGCATGTATACTTGCACACACACCCATGGAGAGAATTACTGCGGCTGGGCATGTGTGTAGCTCAGTAGGAGACTCTACTCAGCACGTGCACTGAAGGATTTAACTCCGATTCCCAAATTATTATCTGATGACCACTAGAAGTACCGAGTGTTCCATCCATCCTATTTTATTATTTTGGTGTTTTTTTTTCTTTTTTTTTTTTCCGAGACAGGGTTTCTGTGTAGGTTTGGAACCTGTCCTAGAACTAGCTCTTGTAGACCAGACTGGCCTCAAACTCACAGAGATCAACCTGCCTCTGCCTCCTAAGGTCTGGGATTAAAGGTGTGCGCCACCACTGCCCTGCTCTATTTTGGAAGTTTTTATATATTCCTAAGTAAATTTGAGTTCAGAAGTACTGATGGCTGATTTTGGTTTTAGATCTTTAGGGATTAAGGCCCATAACAGATTTGCATTGAGAAATAGTGTTTTTGACATCAACATACCAAGAGCTTTGGTTTATGGATGTACAGAGTCTAGTTACTGACTATATTAGAAATGAACTGAGGCCTTTAAAACACGTTAACTCATTCCAAATAACACTGATAAAACAATTTAGTAAAAATACCTCCCCACATTGTGATGAGAGACATTCTTTATAGGTCTGTTAGCTTTCTGTCTTGGGGGAGTCTCAGGGGTATCCACTCATGACTAGTCTAGGGTCTTGTACATGTCAAGTGAGTATTTTACCAACCTTTGTGCTATAGCCCCAGTCCTGGATGCTTGTTTTATTGAAAACAACTGTTCTAATTATTTTGATTGACATATACAAGGAAAAATTGGCATCACACAGATTTGTGGTTGATAAATGGAGTAGTATTTTAGTAGCTTGTTGCTCTTCTTCAGCCTCAACAAATAGCACCGTTTCTTGCCATACTGTAGTGCACAGGGTTGTATTTATTGTGAGCCTATTTGTCTCTGTTCCTTTTTATATTTATTTCTGCAGTGTTAGGAATTGACCTCCGGCCTTAGCAAGTGTTCTATCACTGAGCTACTCTCCAGTCATTTCTAATATTTTAAAAGAGTCTTCTCTTGGTGAATGATTTATAATATTGACTTGAAATAGATCATTGTTTCATAGACCTGCTGTATTGACTTATTTTATAGTAGCCTTCATATTTATTAAGTTCACCATTTATCAGAATTTTTAATGGGACTCTTACAAGAAATAGATACACTTTGCAAAAATACGAATTTTAATGTAAAAACCCAGCGTTTTCATTGTTGAAGTACTGTGTTCTGGAAGTAACAACTCCTCAAGATGTCCGTCAGCTACCTAATCTGCATAGTGCTAGCTTGCTAATAAAAGCAGCTGGCCTCTCTTGTAGCTCAGCCGTGCGGGCCGCTGCTCCCTTTAGACATGCTGGCACACAGTGATTTTGTGTGCAGCTCTTATTTGTCGTACATGTTTAAAAGCCGTAGACAAGAGTTGGGATTTGACAAAATGAGTAATTTTTGCTGATTCGTCAAGATTTTATTATTTATTTGTTTGTTTTTTAAGTAGCATCTCATAGTCCAGTCTGGGGTGGAACTTGCTTCGTAGCCCTGTTGCCTTGAACTCACATCCTTCCTTCTTTGTCCTTCTGAGTACTGGGATTCTAGGTGTGTGCTTTAATCAGCCTGGCTTAGAGCTTTCTCCCTGACAGTGGCTCCTCCCCTCTCCGCTGTGTGCCCCTGAGGAACTATGAGTGGTGCTGCATCCAGTGCTTCACAGACTGGCTTGATTCCTGTCACAGCTCAGTCAGCATGGCACATCAGTATGGAGATGCTTTTGGTTTCTGTTCTCTGAAAGAGGGACACTTAGGTTTCTGCTCCTCATAGAGAAAATTACTGCTGTAGTGTAAAGGATATAGGATGAGTTTGTTTAAAAACAATGAATAATTAAAAAAAAAAAACAACTCACCCAACCAACAGCAGAAATCCAACCCCATTCAATTCCCTAGCCTAGGTTGAGCTCAGTTCTTTTGTGCTTTTTAAACTAAGGTGCTCTTAAATGACTGTCATCTGTTCTTTGAAATAGAAAATATGCCAGTTTCCAGTAAAAGCTGGAATAGAGTACATGCTTGGATTTCTATTGTGTGCTTCTGTCTTTAAGTAGCATACCATTTTATACTTGTGGGCCCAGCTTAAAGAGCCCATTCTGTTGCAGACACTGAGACTCTTTGTTTCTGGCATCTAGTAGTCAGCTCTGTTTTAAAACAATGCTGGGTCCTGTTGGCTCAGTGTGCGGTTGTCCCAGTCCTAACCCTGTCTTAGCTAAGACTGTTGTTGGGAAGCTCTCACAAAGGCCTTGTGTACAGGAGTGTGCTCTTGTTCCAGTGAGTTCAATATGCTTTAGTATGCATGCCTTTCCCAAATTTCTTCCTTAAATCCTTTGATTATGTCAGCAGGAGATCATTCTATTGGGAAGATAGTGTCTTGTAACTATTTTAGAGGGGCTTTCCAGAGCTAAATGTTTCTTTCTCTGTGACAGGATGTGATGGAGCTGCTTGAAGAAGATCTCACATGCCCAATTTGTTGCAGTTTGTTTGATGATCCCCGAGTTCTGCCCTGCTCACACAACTTCTGCAAGAAATGTTTAGAAGGGCTTCTAGAGGGGAACGTGCGGAATTCATTGTGGAGACCATCTCCGTTCAAGTGTCCTACCTGCCGGAAGGAGACTTCAGCAACTGGGGTCAATAGTCTGCAGGTTAATTACTCCCTCAAGGGTATTGTGGAGAAATACAACAAAATCAAGATTTCTCCCAAAATGCCAGTGTGCAAAGGACACTTGGGACAGCCTCTCAACATTTTCTGTGTAACTGATATGCAGCTGATTTGTGGGATCTGTGCTACCTGTGGCGACCACACTAAGCATGTCTTCTCTTCTATTGAAGATGCCTATGCTCAAGAAAGGGACGCCTTCGAGTCCCTCTTTCAGAGTTTTGAGACTTGGCGCCGTGGAGATGCTCTTTCCCACTTGGATACTTTGGAAACAAACAAAAGGAAATCCTTACAGTTACTCACTAAAGATTCTGATAAAGTAAAGGAGTTTTTTGAGAAGTTACAACACACATTAGATCAAAAGAAGAATGAAATCCTGTCTGACTTTGAGACTATGAAGCTTGCAGTTATGCAAGCCTATGATCCAGAGATCAACAAACTCAGCACTATTTTGCAGGAGCAGCGGATGGCCTTTAACATTGCCGAGGCTTTCAAAGATGTGTCAGAACCTATTATATTTTTGCAACAGATGCAGGAGTTCAGGGAGAAAATCAAAGTAATCAAGGAAACGCCTTTACCACCCTCCAATTTGCCTACAAGCCCTTTAATGAAGAACTTTGATACCAGCCAGTGGGAGAACATCAAACTAGTCGATGTGGATAAGCTTTCTTTGCCTCAAGACACAGGCGTGTTCATTAGCAAGACTCCCTGGCGCTCCTACCAGCTGTTCATGGTGATGGTTCTGTTGGGTCTCCTTGTATTCTTTGGTCCGACTGTGTTCCTGGAGTGGTCTCCATTCGATGAGTTGGCAGCTTGGAAAGACTATCTTTCAAGTGTCAGTTCTTACCTGACTAAGTCAGCTGACTTTGTAGAACAGTCTGTTTTTTTCTGGGAACAGATGACAGATGGGTTTTTCATTTTTAGTGAAAGAGTCAGAAGTTTTGGTTTGGTGGCACTGAACACTGTGGCAGAATTTGTGTGCAGATATAAACTGCTGTAAATCAACTACATAGCTCTGTTTCTTGATTGGAGTGTTAGAGAACACAGAAATAACACAGATTTGGGCAAGATTCCAGTCCATTGTTTCTTTTAAAAGTATTCCTTTGATAATGTCTTTTCTATGTTATTCAAATATCAGCATAAAACTAAAAGTGAAGTTTAGTAGTCCCAACCCTCCCCTTCCTTTGAACAGAGTTCTAAAATAAGTGCTCTCCCTCTCGTACTGGCTGAATTTGTCCTGTGATAAACGGCACTTGACTGTATCTGGACCCCGTATCTCTTGAACCTGGGACTTTGAGACCAGCCTGGGCAAGAAGTAAGCAAGCAAGAGTTTTAACATGGCACCCATGATGTAGCGCACACATGAGCTAACACGTCATTGGTACAGGTAATGAGGTACTGAGTCATCGAGCAGACTGTGACATTCCAAAGTGAAGACCAGGAATGTGTGGGTTCCCAAGTTTGCTTTAGAGGAGTCTTTCTCATGACACTGTAAATCTTGTAAGTTTGGAAACCAAGTCTCTCCCACCTCTTCTTTTTGCCAGGCCTGACCTGGTAGCCCTACCTCAAATCTCCCAAGTATTGGCGTCAATAGGTAGCTGTGCATACGGGCAGGGCAGCAGTTGGGAAAGCCTTCTTTAACTGGTACCCAATGCTGCGGTTGTGCTGTCAAGTGCATAGCAACTGTACAGCCAACCCAGTTCACTTGCCTGTCAGACTCGTCTTCCTACAGCTTTAGGCTGTAGGCAAGTGGACTGGGTTGCTGTGACACTAAAGTATAAAGCCATCAGGTAAAGACTTGACCTCTCTGCTCATTAGAGAGAAAGATGGCCACAGGACAGAAGTACGTAATTTTCTCACCTTGCTTAGAATTCAAATGAAAACAAATCTTAAAACTGTTTTAGTCCCCTTGTTTCTCTCATGGGCCCATTAAGTGAAGTTGGGTTTTAGAGTTACCTCATCCCTTGATTTGGGTTGAGAAGAACTAAAGTGATCAGGGATGAGAAAAGCTGGCAACACAGCAGCCAGGGCTGTTAAACAGAGAAACTTTTTTTGGAGGGAGGAAGGGCTGGGGAGATGGCTTAATGGTTAAGAACACAGAGGAGCTGCGTTCAATTCACCCACATGGCAGCTCATACCTGCCTATAACTCAATCAAACACACTCACATAGACATGTAGGCAAAACACCACTGCTCTTAAAATAAAAATTAAAAAATAAAGCAGAGTTCAGCTACTAGCCATGAGACGGTCAAGTTGAAGGTGAGGTAAAGGCTGTTTATTCTTAGCCTAACTCACAACCTAGCTATTAAATTAATAAGGGGGTTCTAAAACCAGATCATGTTTTCTATAAGCCTTTCTTCAGCCACGAGGGCTTGGTAAATGTCTGCGGAGAGAGCGGTTTTCTTTTCCTAGTGATTTTGCTTGAAATACAGATTTATGTTAGGGTTTCATGGAGACTGATTTCTTCAGTGCTAGAGATGGAACTCAAGGCCTCACACATGAAGCAAGGACTCTACCCCTAAACCACACTCCTATTGCAAGACTTTGTTTTGTATTTAGTGGATTACAGGACAGGGATCTATTTGAAGTCATGAGGTATATTGACATTCTGTTTCACTTGCTGTTTCTGTTTTATGCAAGTTCCCAAGCAACTCACATTTGCAAACACAGCTATGGAACCACTATTTGTCTTGACAATAGTTACCTTGGAATTTAGGTTGAGTTTTCTATCTCCACTTCCCTGTTTCTTAATCATATATAACATTTATGGTAGCAGGTTGAGTTAATGGTGTTAGCCTCTAATGAGAAGCCAGGAAGAATGAATAGTGAGGACCTGGTCACTCTGAACGTGGGAGGGAAGCTCTTCACAACAAGGCTCTCTACCCTAAAGCAGTTCCCTACCTCTCGGTTGGCAGGCATAGTAGATGGCAGAGACCCAGAGTTCAAGACAGTTAATGGCCAGATTTTTGTGGATAGAGATGGTGCTTTGTTTAGTTTCATTTTAGATTTTCTGAGGAATCATGAGCTTCTATTACCTTCTGACTTTTCAGACTATCTTAGGCTTCAGAGAGAGGCGCTTTTCTATGAACTCGATTCTCTCGTTGAGCTGTTAAGCCAGCACCTGCTACAATCAAGACCTGCACTCATGGAGGTGCACTTCCTAAGCCGAAATACTCAAGCCTTCTTCAGAGTGTTTGGGTCTTGCAGCAAAACCATTGAGCTGCTAGCTAGAAGGATTACAGTGTTTGTAGAGCAACCTACAGCACTGGCCCGGAGCGGTAACCCCTTCCCTCCTCAGGTGACTTTACTTCCACTGCCTCCACAAAGACCTTCTCACCATGACCTGGTTTTCCACTGTGGCTCTGATGGCACTATTGAGAACCACGCTGGAGTCAGGTATTTTGAATGCTGAAGTGTCTCTTTTATTCCAGTTTTCTGACATTTTCTCTCAAAACTGAAAAGTTCTTTATGCTTCATACTCTTTCTGGCCAAAGGGAAAAAAAAAGTTAATTCAGACTAATGTTTTGTTCAGCTAGAACAAGTAGTTATTTTCTAAACGTGGGTCCTTTCAGACTAAGAAGGTATGTGGGACAGGTAATAAGCCAAGACTGCCCAGGAAAATAGAAACTGTTTTCGGTGGAGTTATGAGAGGAACTCATTCTGTAGATTATATTCCATTGCTAGTGAATGGCTTAGACTGAAACAGCTTATTTCGGGCTTGCACATAGGAGAGGTTCACTGGTATGACCTGATCCTTTTTACACACTATGATTTTGTTCTTGTAGAACTTAAAAAGCATGACTGCTTCTTTTATTTTAGTTTTTGGTTTTTTTTTCTTTTTGTCTTGAATCATGGTCACATTATGTAGCTCTGGCTTGCCTGGAACTCTCACTACCTCTGCCTCTCTTGTGCTAGATTGAAAGTGAGCACCACCACTGCACCTGCTTCTCCTGCTCTTGGCTGGATCCTAAGGCTGATTTCTGCTCTGTAGTCAGGGATACACTACCTCATCCTCTGTTAAAAATGTCTTAATGCAGGCCAGGTGGTGGTGGTTCATGCCTTCATTCTCAGCACTCTGGAGAGGCAGGTGGATCTCTGTGAGTTCAAGGCCAGTCTGATCTACAACAGGCTTCAAACCCACAGAGAAACCCTGTCTCGAAAAAAAAAAAGTCTTAATGCTGTGAATGATTATTACCAACTGTAAAAGCTGGTTTTAACTTTTAGGAGGAAACAAAAAACTTTTTTTGTGTTCTGTACTTACATCATTTCAAAAGTACTTTTAAGAGACAGACATATTTTAGAGTGCTTAGTCTTTACAGTCGTGGTCAGGAAGGAAGCCAGTGGTTATTTGGTATTTCTCCCACAGCACACCTCTTAGTTTCAGCTACCAACTGATGAACAATGAGCAGTATAACCTAGAATTACAATAAATCTATATACTTCCTATTTCCTGGTCTTCCAAAGAAGCTGAAATGTCATCTTAGAAATGGGTACCAATCGAATAAATCACGAAGAACATCTAAGGTCCTGTTGTTGCCAAACTGCTTTACACTCTGCTCTTCATTTTCATTGGGGGAAGAAGTACTTAAATAAGAGGAATAATGGAAATATTTATTGTTTTTTTTTTTGTTTGTTTTTGGTTTTTTTTTTTTTTTGGTTTTATCGAGACAGGGTTTCTCTGTAGCTTTGGGGCCTGTCCTGGAACTCTAGCTCTTGCAGACCAGGCTGGCCTCGAACTCCCAGAGATCTACCTGCGTCTGCCTCCCGAGTGCAGGGACTAAAGGCGTGCGCCACCATTTCCTGGCTTAAATTTTTTTTTCTTTTCTGGCTTAAATTTTAATTAAATGAAAATGACCATTTTTAGCATCCCTTTTCAAAAAGTTAGAAACTTAAGGACAAATGGCAACCCCAGTTTTAGGAACCACAATAGGTGAGGAGAAATCTTGGAAAGACTAAATGTTCTTTTAAAATTTAAAATTTGGAAGAACTATTTATTTTATAAAACAAGGTTAGCAACTGAAATTGGATCATTCTTGTATATACACTATCAAGTGACTTCCCCCTTTTGTTACGTTTCAGAAACAGTACAGAATGTTTTCTTTGCAACTCATAACAGATAATTCTAAAACCAGAGCTATTTCTTTAGTTACTATTTTCTAAAGGGTTTCATGTGGCCCTGGCTAGCCTGGAACTTCTGATTCATTTGTAACCGCTCTGAGTGCTAAGATTATAGGCATATGTTCCCTCAACCAGTTACCATGTGGTGGTATTTTTGGTTGTTTTTAGTTTGGAATTCTTCTTGTACTTAATTTACATAGTGCCAGTTTCAGAATAGAGATATATTATCTATTTAAAGTGACATGGAAATAAGTGGTGATTGAGTGACAGCTCTGGTCAGAACTATTTTTGAGTCGATATTGGTAGTTATCTGTAATTTTTGCTAGTCTTTGGTCTGAATATCTATTCAGATGTTTGTGAATGGTGGATATGGTAGAATAAGCCTGGCTGGCTTATAAGCATCTTCAGTATGTTCTTAGCACGCTCAATTACTTGGTTATTCTCTCAGGTCCCTGGCTTGCATCTTTAGTTGCCCCATCATGTAACAACATACTGCTTAGTTCAAGTCATGGTCTCAGGATTCTAGAGTTTCTTTTGTTGTCATTTTCTCATCTCTCCTTTTTATATTTAACTAGATAGAAACGTATAGTTGACCATAACATTTTAAAAATAAGGTGTGATGGAACTCAGTGATGGAGTCCTTGCCGGTCATGCACCGGAAGCCCTGGGTTCTGCAACACCCAGGTTGTTGAAGTGCAGAGTTTTCTGAGAAGTGCAGGTTTTCTGTTAGTTCATCCCTTTCTTGTGTCTTGAAATCCCTTTTCAGTTTGGCTTTAGAGGGAATCAGTTAAAGTAATTTTGGCTCAATGGTTTGTCAAAGTACATTCTGCCTTTTTTTTTTAAAAGCCACCTATTACTTCCTATTTGTATCTTAATAGTCTTGTGATATTCTGTAACTTTCTGACAACTGTTTCTAGACTGTATAATTTAGATCCAGACTTTGGAATAGATGAAATGCTTTACTACTGTTAAAAACTTGCGTCAAACACAATAAACTTTTTTTTTGAGATGTGTTTTGAAGATTGATAATCTTTAGCTGTTAGCTTTCTTTGCCACTAATGAGTTCCTGAACATAACCTCAGTTAGTAATAACTAGGGATATGCTCAAACATTGTTTTACACTCCTGAAACTATGCATAGCTTTGGTATCTGCTGGGAGCTAACCTATGCCGTTTTTCACATTTTCAAAACAGAGGGAAGACACAAAAATATCCTTGATGGCAGATATCCTCCATATCATATTGCTATTACTAGAGCAAACACGGCATTATTTTCTGGAGCCATGTGCTAGCTTTGTGGAGTACTTAGAGACTGAAGGGTTTTGCTGTCTTTGTTTGTTTGTTTGTTTTTCAAGAGAGGGTTTCTCTGTGTAGCCTTGACTGTTCTCTACTCTGCAGACCAGGCTAGCCTTGAACTCAGAGATCTGAGTGCTGAGATTAAAGCTGTGAGCTACCACTGCCTTTTCATTTTCATTCTGGGTTTTGACTACCATGTTTTGCTTTCCAGTAACAGGCAATTGTTGATGAAAAGGTAGCAATAAAATGGAGTCTTGACATTTTATATCTTCAAATTTTAACCTGAAAAGGCTGGTTTGGTGAATAAACCACGAGTTAAAATGGCAGTACTAATAATTAGGTTCTGTAGAAAATTGTGAAAGTACAATTTAATAATCATTTAGTTAAACTGGGTAAAAGCAAAGCTGGAAAGAAAAAAAAACCCTGGAAATAAGTTTCACAGTTTCAAAAATTAGGGCAGTTTAGTTCTTTGACAAAATTGTTGCAGAAAATAAATGATAAGGCAACGATATTAATTATATTCTTAAATGTAATTGAGATGACTTGGAATCAAGTCTCTATTTTAATATATTTAGAGTTATTGATTCAAATTTGAAAATGAAATCTCAAAAAGAAAATCTGTTAAGTGTTATGAGTCAGTTTGAGGCCAGCCTGGTCTACATAATGAGTTCCAGGACAGCAAGGGATAAAAAGTAAGATTATGTCTCAAAAAAAAAATAATTATGTTGCCAAGCCCGGAGTGCACACCTGTAATCTGTAATCCTACCACTTTGTAAGAGGCAGAGGATCATGAGTTTGAGTTTCAGACTTGGGAAAAATGGTTTAGGTACCTGTTTAACAAAGCAGATACTGGCATCCAGGTTCTTCCAGCATCCCTTAGTCCCTTCCTGTTACAGGGTTCTCCTGGCTGGCATGCCCTGCCCCCTACCCTAAACTTACCCAGCCCAGGGGTTGGGCTGCCCTTCCCTATTTAATCTATCCATTTTGGTTACCTGGTACATTTGTCTACTCTCTTGGGCCTCCTGGCTGCTGCACTTGGTTCCTCTAGCTCCACTCGCCCTTCTCTATGCCCCCCCCATCCTCACATGACTCAGTTTCATGTCCCCTGAACTCTCCCAGATGTTCCTGCCTCTGGCTGTGCTCTCTCCCTTTTATCTATAAACTTTCTGTTCCATTGTATGTTCCTTTCCTTTTTCTTTTTCATCAAGAGCATCATGGGCTACACAAACCCTGTCTCAAAAGAACAAAAAAAGAGAAAGGTATAATGCTTTTATCTGAGGCTGCAAGTTTATATGTGTAGTTTTATTAGTTATTAAAGGAATGCTTTGTAATCAAACAATTCTTTGTATGTCTCAGGTACATTTCCATAAAGCCTGATAACCGAAAATTGGCGAATGGAACAAATGTCTTCGGCTTGTTGATCGATACTTTATTAAAGGAAGGCTTTCATCTGGTCAGCACTAGAACACCAGCCTCTGGAGACAAAAGTGAATGCTATGTCTTTGAAAGAATAAAAAGCCTTCAAGTCCTTGGGGGGAATAAAACACCAAACCCAGAAAATACCACCATACCAGCGCCATCCCAGAAGTAACAGTGTAAAAAGACAGTAAAGGGAACATGCTCTTCTTGTTTGGAAATTCCATACCTGGAGCATGTGTGCCGTCAGATTTGGACTTGGTCTGACTTTGGATGTTTTCTCCTACCTGCCTTTTTGCCCTGGGGAATCCAGCCCATCATGCTTAAAGCTACCCTGCAGACTCTCACAAAACAACACTGCACAGGGGATTTAGCACTTTCTTCTTCAAGGTCTTTTACCATGAAATGGGTTCTGGTAAAACTGTGTCTGAGCCTAGTTTAGTCATTTATTAGCTATGTGGCTTAAGTGAGGCATTTCTGTGTTTCAACTTTATCTATTAACTAGGGACAAAAGAGTATCCCCCTCATAGTTATGAGACTGTTGGTTAAAGGGAACAAAGTTCTCACTATGGCATGTGGTAGGCACTCAGTAACTGTTGATAATGATCATGGGTCACTTGCTTTCAAACCCATCTCTTCTCTGAGGCCTTGTTTTCTCCTTCCCCATTTGTTTACCTGCAGTGTCAGTGATTAAAACCTCATGCATGCAAAGTGTCCTCTATGACTAACTTGTACTCCCCAGCTGCGGATCATTCTGCATAGACTTGTATATCACCGTAAAACCATGTTTCCCTTACTTAAATATAAGATGTTCGAAAAGTTTCTAATGCTACTATATATAAAGTATTTTGCTAAACTTATAAATCATACAGTATCTAAATTTGGTAAAAAGTTTTAGAATAACATTTAAAACACACATAATGATTTAGTTTCTCTCATTTTATATTTGTGTTATTTTTAAACAATAGGATAATACCTAAAAAAAAAAAAATTCATCAAAACCTAGTGTTTGCTTATAGTTAAGTGAAAAGCTGTTGTATGGAAATACTTCAAAGTTTGCAATTCATTCAAGAACTTTATTTTAGATATTTGTATTAGTTTGGGCTTCTGTTGCTGTAAGTTGGGGAGGAAAGGGCTTTTTCATTGTGCACTTCTGTGGGGGTACCCTGTGAACGCCAGGGCTGGCAGATAAAGAAATCCAGTTCAGCACAACTTAGCCTGTGTTGGTTCAAATGAACCTGATACTGGGCAGTTTATTTTAGTCATACTTAAGTACAGTACAACATTGGGGAAAAATTTTCCTGGTGACAGTTATCACAATAAAGCTTAAGGGTGGCTACATTAAAACTCTTTTGCAAAGTACATATAACTTCTTTAGTAAGAATGGATTCTAGAGCTTAAGGTCCCAGGAGAGGATCTGGTCATCATAGAGGTCACCAGGCTACAAAGTACATGTGACATCTCTTCTAGGGACAGGTTCTGTTGACTGAGAAATAAAGGTCTAGGGCAGAAGAGTCTGGGATAAGCATAAAAGTCTGAAAGATTCAGGTGTAGCCAGGCCACGAGATTTTTGTTGTTTTAGAGAAAGAACAAAGTTGAGTTATAGGGTGTATAGGGAGGTAGGGAACATCTGCAAGGAACTTGGGGAGGGGAAAACAAAAATACAGTATGGAAATTTTTTTCAGTAAAATGTTCAGAGGGTAAAAGTATTCAGTATAAAACTATCAACTACTGACTAACAAGACACAGAATCATTTATAAAGAAGAAGGAAACACACACACAAAGTACTAGGCATAGTGACACATGACTGCAGGCCCAGCTCTGGGAAACTGAGACAGAAAGGAAGACCCTAAATTTAAAAGATCCTTTAACTGTGTTTGCTGGGCTACAGAGTGATTAAAAAAAATGAAACACATACCAAAAATGAACATTGAGCAGTGACACTGAGTAGTCTCAGCCCCAGAGCCTGCCCATGCAGTCTTCCATAGCAAAAGGTTTGCACTGAGCCTCAGCTCCGGATCCACCGAAGGAGTTGAGAGGACTGCAGCCATTATATTTGTTTCTAGGACAGGAGCACTTGGTCACCTGGCTTACAAAATGTTTTGTTAAAAGCCTGGCAGTGGTGGCACATACCTTCAATTCTAGCACTCAAGAGGCATAGGCAGGCAGAGCTCTGAGTCTGAGGTTAGCCTGGTTGATCTACAAAGCGAGTTTCAGGACAACCAAGGCTACACAGAGAAATCATCTTCAAAATAAAACAAAAAGTTCTATGTTAAAGATCATTGCATGGATGCTATGGTGAACCTTCAGTTCCAGAAAGACAACCCCAAGGTGGGGCAAGCCTTCAACATGGAGGATGGCGGAGTTCTGATGAGGGTCACAGAAAACACAAGGAAGAGACTGGAGACAATGTGGAACCACTGATCCATCAAGAAAAAAGAAACAATGTGCAGTTTTGATGTTGTACCCTAGCATGTTGTGATGTTACCTGATCATTTAATTAGAATTGCACCCATTCTGATTGGCATCCTAAGTTCTAGATGCCATACCTTGCAAATTGCAGCTTTCATATTCATGGCACCAGCCTTATTTTTGAAACATCATGTTGCACATGGCGAGGAGGAGAAAGGTTAAACCAAAACAAACAAAAATAAATAAGTATTGAAAAGGAAGAAGTCATACCTGAAAGATTGCATGTGTATGCCAGGGATTGTGGCCACTCTGGTGACACAGTGAGACCTATTGTTTCATACTGACAGAGGTTTTACCATGCCACACCCTTCCTGGTCTACAGACTGCGTTCCAGGACAACTAGTGCTACACAGAAAAACACTGTCTTGAAAAATGAAAAAAAAAAAAAAAAAGAAAAGAAAAAAATTTGGTGAAAATGTTGACATTTTTAAGAGTTGTTTCTGAATTCTAGATTGTGGGAAACAAAGAAAAAAACACTTCAACTTTTAGTAATTTATTAAGTTAGTGACTGATAGTAATGGTTCACCAAAAGGAAGAATATACTAATGAATGTTTTACTTTGCTTGCTTTTGTAGCATTCATCCATTTAGTTTTGTAGAAATGGCAACTTATTTTAGTGTACTGTTTTAGTTTGGGGAAGAAATGGTTTTAAAAAAACACAATAAGCATGAACAATTCAAAAACAAAGCTTAGTATCCACAATGCTGTCTCCAATGGTATTTTGGTTAAAGGAAGGTAATAAATTTCTTTCTGAAAGTTTCCATATAGTAACTTTTATATTACTAAACTTTGCTTTTAACAAGTCCTTTTCTTTAACCCCAGCAAAATTTCTAGTAATCGATACTTCTAATAATGTAACTGTTCCTGTTATTGAGAATCAGCACAAGCACAAAGCAAAGTTGAAGTTTGTCAGATGCAAGTAGTATAGAAGAAAAGTCAGACACGAGCAAACTAAGTAATTCTCATTTGTCATAAACGGTTTTCTACTGCTTAAGACTTTTGGTCTCAAATTAGATCCTGTTTTATCACTATGTAAGGACTCTTTGTAGATAAAATTAAGTTCTAGTAGCACCTTTCAGAAAACTTTTACAGGGATGATTCCAGTTCATTTTATAAATCATTGAGTATAGTGGTGTATTATTGTGTTTTAATAAAGCTTGCCTGCCTGGGTATCCAAAGGCAAAACAGCAATACTAATCAGCTATACAAGTCAGGGAGGGAGTGGTGTTGACACACACCTTTAATCCCAGGGCAGAGGCAGGTGTATCTCTGTGAATGAATTCAGGGTCACTCTAGGCTACACAAAATTGAATCTGTCTTAAAGGGAAACAGAGCTCACACAAAGATAATCTCAGCACTAGGGAGGTGTAGACAGGAGTGATATGGCTGGGTGGAGAGAGGAATATAAAGGGGAAGTGATAGGAACTCAATGGAATGTGGGGATGCAGAGTCTTCAGGATTTGTGGAGACAGGATCTCATCTATTTTTGGTCTGGGGTAGAGGTTAGAACCAGTGGCTGGCTGCTTTACTCTTCTGATCTTCAGGTTGAACCCCAGTATCTGTCTCTGGGTTTTTATTATTCGTGCTACAATTGAGATTTAAGAAGAATCAGAAGCTAAAAATCTTTGATGCCTGGTCAGAAATAAGACTGAATGATGGAAAGAAAATCATAAGTAAGAAAATACAAAAGGCCCACCCAATTATTAATGGTGCTATTAAGCCTTAAACTACTATGATTATACATTAGATGGAATGACAGTACCTGGGATTTGTTAGATCAAGGTTTTCAGTGTTGCCAGACAAGATAGATTTCTGTCATTGTTTTCTTATAACCTAAAATAATTTGAAGCTTGAGAGATGGCTCACTGGTTAAGCGCACTTCTTTTCAAGTGGACCCAGAAGCCAAGTGAGGTGACTCACAACTACCTGTGACTTCAATTCCAGGGAATTCAACACCTGTGGTTACTGATATATACACACAGAGACATGCACATAAATAAAAATATTTTAAAAACAAAATAAGCAAATTAACTCAATGAAGAGTTGATTCGTCCCTGAATGAAAATGTTTTGTTCCTACACAATACTGACTCACCTGTGGTATCAATAAACTACACTATTTTATTAAAACTATATTCTGCCTCTCATTATGAAAGACCCAAACCTAGATATTCCAGTTAAGTGTCCCACTCAATATAGAGTGAACCAAGGAACTCTCACTGAGATGAAAGATGTTTCCAGTAGGGATAAGTGCTAAAATAATTATGAATGAACTCTGCTCACTCTGAAAATACACTTTCCCTAATGAATAATGTGGAATATCCTTTATACTGTGTGAATATATGTTACTGTGACTGGTTTAATAAAGAAGCTGATTGGTCAATAACTGGACAGGATAAGGGTAGGCAGGAGAACCAGACTAAGGAGACTGGGTAGAAGGGTGGAATCAGGGGAGTCTCTGAGCAGATGCAGAGAAAAATATGATCAGGCTGTGCTGAAAGGTATTGAGAAGTGGCAGAGGGTAGATAAAATATGGGTTAATTTAAAATGTAAGAGTTAGCTAGTAACAAGCCTAGGCTATCAACTGAGCATTTATAATTAATATTATGTGTCTGTGCATTTATTGGGGAGCAGGCAGGCCTGACAAAAACTCTGCCTACAAAAAACATATTTAAATTATGGTCACCTCTCCTTAAAAAAGTACTATATTGTGATCTCATGAATTTAGAGATTTTAAATAATTTAATCCACTGTCAATATTATAAATTGTGGCTTATAACTCTAGAGGGACAGGAATTTTTGTCCCGTACTGTAAGGTTCTTCAGTGATGAGAAACGTACTTAGCACATAGCAGATATCAATAAATGCTTTTTGAACAAATGACTGTTAGGTATATTGTATATTTCCATGAATATTATGTCAGCTCATTAAAATTCTATTTCTAATTTCAAAATTGTCATCTGCAAATCCCAATGATTAAAAACACATTAATAGCAGCTTAAACATTTCCTGCTAGTCCTTGCTAAAGTGAGATAGAATATTGTCTTTTTTTAGTTTTTATGTCTAGTCAGCAAACACCATGAAGAATTGAACAGCATTATATGCATGTCACTTACACCCAACTAGCTAATTCACACATATAGCATACATTTATCAAAATATATTATAGAGTGTAGTACTAGCAAGAAAAGTACACCAAAACCATTCTTCTCCAAACTAAGAGAAGATGGGGTAAACTGGAAAAATACTTTCATTTTAGGTTATAGTGGGTTATTTTTGCTGGTGTGTTTTGGTGTTTTGAGACAAGAGCTGAACACAGGTAAAACTGATCCTCTTGCCTTCATCTCCCAAGTGGTAGGAAAGTTTTATTTGTAATGTTATGTTTTTATGTCATTACAGCTTTTTTGTTATACATTTTTTTGGTAATGTAAGAATTCTCCATTTACTATGTCACCATCAGGGTTCTTCATTCTGTGCTGTCTACATTCAGGCCACAAGTCTCACATACCTTAAATGTCAATTAAACCAAACCAAACCAAACCTGAGCCAGGCAGCGGTAACACATGCCTTTAATTCCAGCACTCAGGAGGCAGAGACAGGTGGATCAGAGTTTGTGACCAGCCTAGTCTACAGAGTGAATTCAGGACAGCCAGGGATACACAGAGAAATCCTGTCTTGGAAAACATCTTACACCTGAGCCAACTCCCATGCTTTAATCCTACTTTTTTGTTGTTGTTGTTGGTTTAGGTTTAACATTTAAAGGTGTTTGAAATACAGTCAAGAGTCAAACCAACAACTAATAGTTTCCAAGGTAAAAAGTTCCCTTTCGATCTTGATTTGCTGGTACACTTGTTTTGGAGGTGTGAATTTTGAAAGTATGTACAAATAGGCAGTAGGGAGAACTGACCAAACCACTTAAGACCATGTGGAGAAGGAACTAGAAC